AAACTATCTCTATTTTAAATTATATCAAATTAGCGAATTCATCAAATCAAAAATCACCACACATTATTACATTCGAAAACGAAAAACTATCCCAGTCATTAAAAACCGATTTTATTAGAATTTGTATTTCTGTATTTAAAAAGAAAATAATTCGATAAGTAATTCTAAACGACTTTTATTATACGTTATTGGAATACGATTACTTCAAGAATTCACAGCGATCATATTACATGAATATGATATTACATGCCCCGAATGGAAAATTTATTGAATGTACGCGAGACAGCAACAAATAATATCCGTTTCTTTTGTCGTATATTTAAAACCGATAGATTATTCCCTACAGCAAAAAAATTGTAATATATCTTTTTATACTAGTTGTGATTATTTGATTCCACCATTAATTATGTAAATTAAAAAAAAAAGGAATTTTGAATGCGAGCTATATCCACGGTACCCGCACTATTAACTATTTATTAACTAGATCAGGTATATTGACAGAGTGAGACGTTTCCGAATTTTGTGTAAATCACAAGAATGGTTATCAGTTATAAAGTTATAACAATGAAACGATCACACTAATCTACAGAAAGCTTTATAAACGTTTATAGAGGTTTATTGGGTTATCCCAATAAATTACAAGTTATGGCCTAGTGACATATAGCTATGGCTTGACCTAGTGAACGAGTAAATAGGTAAAAGCTTTTTAAAGAAAATAAAAAATTAATCGGATTGTTTATAACAGCTCTTAAATATGAATTTTTGTACTAAACTAAAAGTATGCTGGTGTTGGCTTCAACCAAATATTTCGACATCCGTCGCGTCCAAACTGCCTCATACAATCATACAAAACATGTTTGATGATCTATTTTATGTACTACAAAACTACACATACAGACATAAATATTCTTCCACCGTTAATCAGCACTCAACCTAGTGAAGGTAATATTGAAAATATAATGTAAGGTAACGGTTGAGATAAAAAAGTCAGTGTCACGAGCGAGATTCGAACTCACGACCTTCGGCTAAGTACGCCGCTGCTCTACCATTTGAGCCATCATGACTTCGATCCACTCGGACACTAACTTCCCCTCTCAACCCACCTTTCGAATTTTCCCTCCTTTTTGCCATTTTTCGAATCCCGCTCGTGACACTGACTTTTTTTATCTCAACCAACACCTTACATAAAGATTAATTAATTGAAAGAAGTATTTGGTCAATCGGACCACGAACTCTAATGGATTGAAAATATTTTAGCGTCATTGGAGAATCAATAGGTGCTTCTCTTTTTTGCGTATATTTCTTATCTCATTGTTGCATTAGATCTGAAAATAGTTGTAATGCTCTGCTAATTTAAAAAACAAAACAAAAAAACAAAGTCTAACACCAGGCATAGTAGAAAAACCAAATTCCCCTCAGCTAATACAGACTAAAAATAACTATTTTTTGAGTGCTATCAAAATTCTACAATAAAATGCTTTGAAGGGTGCTTAAATCGAATCCAAATTATTTTTTTTTCTAAAAGGAAGTCTTTTGACCAACTTTATTCGAACGCAACTTAGAGAACTCGAAGTCATATGCATTGTTTGAAGACATCCTTTCAGCCAGAAGATGGCACAGGTTAAAAATAATGTAAGCACTCTGGTCTCAGCCACTTGTCTCTGTTCATGACCAATAAATCTTTAGCCATTTCTAAAAACCTAACCTAAAGGCCGGAAGATGGGGCCTCTGATAAGCTTTGACAATATTTGCTTTCTACTTATTACTCTCTATTTTTTACATGGAGTTAAAACTAAAGTAAAATTAATTTGCAGCTTCTATGCCAACAAGAATAAATAAAACGAATATATTGCGAAACTCTTCTATTAAAAAAGCTTTAAATGAACTGCACAAAAAGAAATAGGGATATTTGTAAGTTATTCTTATTCCATTAATTTTAATTAAATTAACCGATATATTCTTGTTAGTTGGATAACACAAAATATAAAATATAAATCAAAACCAAACAAATGTTAATCCTCATTTTTAATAACGCATTTACTTAAGAATAGTAAACGGGAAGATTACTCATTATGTAAATAAACACCTGATTGAGAAGTTCGCAATATTATTATTTGAACGACTCATCGAGCCCCTTTTCTCATCAATCCTTTCCATAGTTCCCGCTCAATCCTAAATGAAGTTCAACATGTTTTGGCAAGGCCTTTATCAACACCAACGATTCGTAATCGTGGAAGTTGGCCTCATATCATATGTATGCCCCTTTAAGACGACCTGCAGCAACAGCCCACCACCAGCAACTCAGGAGAATATGGTGCATGAGGTTCCCGAGAACTCTTCGTCACAAGACAAGAGGATCTTTAACGTCCGCACCTGGCCTATTCGGCCTTATCGGACGTTTTTATTCTCAAGATGAGAGCTGACGCACCTCCGCATACGACGGAATGGTGTTACCGCCGCAGCATTGGTGTAGAGGCGCCCCAGCCCCTAAGGGCCAAGACAACCTCGCCCTCCGCTTGTCCACTCCGAATGGTCGGGCCCGTAAGGTGCATCGCAAAGGGCTAACAAGCCGAAATACAAAATCAGCCTGTTCTCCCGCGCACTATCTAGATAAAGAAGGCGTCTCTATCTCTCAGAGTATTGGGGCTTCCCCAGCGTAGAAACTTCCGGGACCGCCCCGGCCGCGGTTTTGTTTAAAGTGGAATTGCTAACCACACCCTAGATGAGTACCGCCTACGGTAAAAATCTCTTATCGAGCTCAGCCTGCTATGCGCATTCGAGGGACGCCATAGGCTAGGTGGTCCGATCCTTCGCTTCCGCAAGGGTACCACGCCGGTCATACGCACAACAATGCAAAGCATACTCGAGTCAGAGCAACCGATTCACTACCCGTTTCCGTTCACTTACTCACGCATTCGAGGGACTATTCAGCATAATCATCGCGTCCTCAACGCCTATACGCTGTCGTCCGGTCCACCGTCTCCCGTGAGGCCGGGGGTAATAACGCTGGCCAGACGCAAGCTTCACGAAGGTCACAAATAGAAGACAGCCTCTGTCTAAGTTCCAGTCAGGGGCGTCACCACGAATCCATTCCCAGTGTAACTAGGGCTGAATTTGGAACTTTTCAGTTACCCCGTGGTACAGATGGCCATACACCCTCCCCCGTCTATGCAGACAGGATCTGGTGCACTGACCCTCGTGTGACTGCTAAGGCACCCGCCGCCCAAGCCGACCCTAGGCCGACACGAATACAGCTTGTGCTTTAGAGAGGTTGCGACGCCCTCTGGTCCACACCTTTATTTTGTGCCCGGATACCCCCCTTGCAACCAAGGGTTGGGAGGGGCCACAGGATAGAATGAAGGAACCCAGATTGAGAAAAGGGCCGTGTATGAGAACCCGAGGTGAGCCGTTTCGGGGTCTTGAGCCTCAAACCACACTATATCACCCGTCGTCGCCGTAGTTCCACACATAGTGGGCTACGACTCCCAGGGTGGGAGAATATGGTGCAGTGAGTGCCTAGAAGAGAACACCAATTGGAACGCTGTTTTATTTACCAATGAATCGCGTTTCTGTCTGTATAGAGATAGTAGGCGCCAAAGAGTGTACCGAGAACAGGGGATGTGTACAGCTCGTTTCAGCTCTCTTCAGTACAGTTGGAGGAGGCGGTGTAATGGTCTGGGCTGGGATTTACACTAGAGGACGAACTGGACAATATATTGTTAAGGTAACCACACCGCCGTCCGTTATGCCCAAGAAATTATTGAGGAATACATCCCACAAACCAGGGATCTCATTGGCAGGGATTTTCGATTTCTGGTTGACAATGCCAGATCACATAGGGGCAGATTGTTCATCATTGTTTAGAAAATCTGGGAATATCCCATCTGCCCCCATTGTCTCCAGAACTCGACCCCATTGAGCACTGTGGGATGCGTTGGAGAGAAGGCTTATCTATCTGTATCCGCAGCCAGTGATGAAATTAGTGACAACCATATTAACAGTATGCCTAACAAGTACACAATTTAGCTAACAGATACAGTTATACACAGTATTAATTATTTAAAAAAAATATTGTGCCCACTAAACAAAAGTTTCGAGTAGCGTTTCTGTCTGCATAGTGATAGCAGGCGGCGAAGAGTCCACCGAGAACAGGGGATGCGTACTCTGCACCTTTGCAGATCTCTTAGAGGCAGAGTTTTTCATCAATGTTTAGAAAACCCGGGAATTTCCCATGTGCCCCTTCCCCCATTGTCTCCAGACGTCATCCCATTGAGCACATGTGGGATGCTTTGCAGAGAAGGCTTTTCGATCACCATTCGCAGCCAGACCTGCAAAAACTGAGTTCAGCAATGAACATCTATGGAGTGAAATTCCTTAAGAAATTATTGACAACCTTACCCAGTATACCTAGCAAGTACACAGAGGTTATAAACGGTATTAATTGTTTCAACAAAAATTTGTGTTTAATGAACATAATTGCGGAATTAAAACCTTTTATTTGTTATTTTTCAAAATTCCTTAATTAAGTTTTTCTTCAGTAAAACATAATAATTTCTAATAAATTTTAAAATTTTTAATACATTTTATAATAAAAATAAATAAAAAATGCTAGGGTGAGTAAATACGACATGAAGAAAGGACCTCATGTCCTAAAATGTAGAACGTTTTTTACGTTAGAATAAATTTTGTTACACAAATTTGTTGAATTTGTTGACTATACATGAAAGTGGCATGAATCATTGGACAGACAGAATAGTGGAACATGTGAAATACTAAGTTTTATTATTTTATGTACGCCTATCTCCATGCGTTGACCTCCAGACGTGACTGCGCCTCTCCGGACAGTTTACGGGAAAGGCGTCATTCGCCCACTTCGCCGCGGCACCCTGTACAGTTTTCCAAGGGTCGGACCCTGGTTTTGTAATTGGGCGGTTTCTCTCCTCTTCTCCATCCCTCCTTCACTCGAGCGTAACGAAGGGGGTTGGAGCTGGTGGGGGAGCTAGCCGAAGCCAGTCGACGAGTGAACTCCGTTCAGCTTGTGTCATGTGCAATGTGTGATCCGTTCCGTTCCTAAGAAAGACGTACGAGACATGAGTGTTGGTGACGGGGTGCCGCGTGGCCCCCACATAGTGATCCTATACGCAATCGGCGCTGTATCACTAACAGCTTTCGGACTCCTAGCCTACACGACAGTCGTCCTAGAACAGAGAGTCAGTAGCCTCGAGGCCGCTCTGCTGCTAGAAAAATCTTCACCGTCCGTCAGGTTCCGCAGGGACATACCTACCGACACACCTGACTGCGCTTGTCCTCCAGGTAAACAACGTCTTATATTTATTGTAAAAGTCACATGTACCATCATACAAAATACACAGTTTAAAGCGCATGTAAACGACATTATAATAAAATAATCCATATTTTTTTAGTGGATATCCAATTATTGTTCTTTTTACCTAAGGTTTTTAGTTGAGATGAAAACTTAGTCTCCCGCTCGTGACACTAGTTTTTCATCTCAACCAAAATCCTTAGAAAAAAAGAATAATTAATTGGAATTATAATAAATCCTGCCTTAGAGCTATTTAATCTACTTACAAAGTTTAGTTTAGGGAATCATAATTTTTTAAGAGACCACTCATAAACTTGCATGCACGAAAATTACGTATAAATTAAATTTTTCTTCAAAACAAATGACAGCAAGTCGATTCATCAAAATAATGTACAAATCCATAAAAAAATTTCTAAGTTATTAGACACGTATTATTTCCATTGTTACAATAGACCAATACGGGAAACGTCAAAAATTTTTCCTCCAACACAACTCTACAATTTAGAATTTTTTCCAACGTCCTTTTTTTCAAATCATACCTTTTCTCAACGATTTTTTCTATAATATTGTACACGTGCTAGTATGAAGAATATGTGTGTATATGTATATGGGTATACTAATTGAACAAAAGAAAAATCAAACTTTTTATTTCTTTCCCTTGGCATCGCCCTACTCTAAGCAGTTTGGTCATGGGTGGACTTCATTTCATGGAATGCCTTGCAGTCATAGTTAATATGTATATATTGATCATTGCATGATATTGAAATATTTGACAATAATGTATGTGTACTTCACGTTCTTTTCTACAAGTATTTTTTTAACTCAAAAGTATCGATCTGTCAAATTCTCAACAGACTTTTTTTTTAAGTAGTGCTGTTTATGGTGATGAAAAAAAATGTAATAATAAAAAATATTTTAACCTTTGGCATTGCAATAAATTCCTATTTTTCTCAGACGTTGAAATCGATAAAGTCTCGCCATGATGGTTCAACATGCTTCTTTGTTTACGTAAAGTTGACCATTGTTTTTTTCAGTTTTCGCCCTATATTTTGGAAGATTTTTTTCCTATTATCTGAAAGCAAAGGAAAAGGTTTGTGTGTCTTTTCGTTAAGGCTTACTATTTACACAGTAGTCCAGAAAAATAGGATTTTATTTCGAATATGTCTTTTTTTTTTTTTTTTCAAATTATACCTTTTCTATACGAATTTTTTGTGCAATATTATACACGTGCTATTTACGAAACGAAAGTGTCGAAATAATTTAACATGCCAAGAAATCAAACCTCTTTTCTTCTTCCCATCGCCCTACTCTAAGCAGTTTTTCTTTGATAATGTCAGTCATAGATTATAAATATAAAAGTTCCGTAACCAGACAATGCACAGACCAACCCTCGGGATCTAAAGGGGTGGAATTTCGAGAGTGCATTCCTATACATGGATAACCGCTAAGAAAGGTTTTTTTAAATTCCATCCCTAAGGGATGATATGGACAATATTTTACCATGTATAGACTGAAGTGAATTGAAGAAGAGAAGAATTTGAAAAACGAGACATTATATTAGAAAGCCATTACCAGCACTCTTCATCGCATTAGAAAGATACATTAAATCCGCGTGGACGGAATATATATATATATATATATATATAATGTTCAGCTAGGGGGTGTTACAAACGTTGCCAGTACATTCTACATTCAAACTGGAACCAAAATGTCCTAATTAAGTTTTAATTAATCTCAACAGTTTCGGAGTTATGCGCCCCTTTTTGATTTCTTAAGATTTCACGACCTTGCTTCAAATAAGCAATAACTCGAAAACTAAAAGGTTTTGGGCAAATCCGTTCATACAATTGAAAAATTTCCAACAATATGTGAACAATATTTAACTTACAAATGTCGGTAAAATAATTTCAAAGTAGCTAGAACTTTGAAAAAGATATATATTTTTTAAATTGAAAAAATTACTGTGATAATTCTAACTACTATTTACAAATCTGGAGACGAGCAAATTTCTGAAAACGTCCACCATTTAATATTCTTTTTAGTGGTATAATTGCTTTTTCAATTACTTTTTTTAAAGAGGAAGAAAGTGATGAAGGAAAGGAAAAAACCGTGGTTTACGGGAAGGAAGAAAGTTTAAAAAAACTTAAGGAAATTTTTGATGACAATTTTAAACGTTTTTTTTAATTTGCGTTCGAAACCGAAATAGTGCAAGTGTTTACTTATTTACCTACACGACTGAAACGTCGATTAGAGATTAGAGAAAAGGGATCGTTTGTGCATGTTGTGGTTGAGAGCATTTCGAATCACAATAAAAAACGTTTAATAAATCCATTCAAAGTTTCTTCATCTTTGAAAAAAGTAATTAAAAAAGCAATTGCACTACTAAAAAGAATATTAAATTTGCTGGTCTAGGTTTGGAAATATTAATTTAGAATCACCATAGTAAGTTTCAACTTTGAAAAAAATAAATATATTTTTCAAAGTTCTGGCTAGTAAAACGCTTATTTCACCAAAGTTTACAGGTTTATTATTGATCACACCTTACTGGAAATTTAACATAGATTTCAATGGTATCACCGGATTTGCCCAAAACCTTTTAGTTTTCGAGTTTAATTGAAGAAAGGTCGTTAAATCTTAAAAAATCGTAAAAAGAAGAAAACTCCGAAACTGTTGAGATTCGGACCATAGATACGAAAAGAAAATTTTCCCTGATCGAAGCATGATTCCCTTCAATGATAGCATGGTATTGAAATATTTGATTTTTGTTCAGTCGCGCTGTTCATTTCGAGGGCCCCTTCCCGAAGAAAAAAAAGCGCGCCCTCTGTTTGAAATCGGTTAGTCGAAAGCCGACCGCTCACCTGTTGTTTAAGTTGGTAAAACCGCATGGCCGGCTTTCGCCCTTGTAATTTTCTGACTTTTCCTCACCATTTTCTTTCTTGTCTCTTCCTCTTCATCCGCTTCACTCTCTGCTATGCCGACAACTACGCGAGGGCCAGCCCCGGAACCCGAAACAGAAGAATCTCTGTTTGTCTGGAATCTCCAACCTTATATCCGTTGATTCTTTAACTTCTTTAACCCCCTTTTCACCGCTTATAATTCTCCCCTTTCTTTTTAATTTAATTTTTGCACAGTCCAGTAGAATGTGTATTTTAATTTTTCACGCCCTTTCCCATTTGGTGTAAGTATTTTTTTAAATATCTATCCGTCAAACTATAGACGGATTTCTTTCATTGCGAAAAATTGTAAATGTCTCACGATGATACTTTCAGCTCAATCTTCGGCATGATACTGAAATATTTGTCAGTTATTTCTCACATCCAAAACAAAAGTGACACAACTCAAAAAAAAAAAAAAAAAAAAAATACAGGATCGGCAGATGGAAGTTTACTTTTTTTACTTATGTATTAAGTACACGCAATTACGGTTGTTGGCAATAAAAATTGTCATGATTGGTCACTATTGTCTTTCGTTTGTCCAAGAGTTAAGCGAAAACACAAAACTTTAAAAATCCAGCTGAACTACCCCTAAAAACTAACACTTTTTGAGCTGTGACAATTTTCTTCCATATATTGGCACTCAGTAATTTAAGTTAGTTTTTTAGCTCTAACAATAATGGTGGACAATAAATGACTGTAATTTCTTTGTGATAGTAACACACAACATACAAACCTAACAAACAAGCATAAATATCCATGTAGTTAGTTTTACTAAGATTATTTTTGACCCAAATTAATGTTCTTTCCTCCTGGAGTCAGGGCTAATTAGTTATTTAAAATACATAAATTATAAAATATATAAATTAATTATTGAAATAAAGTTGTTATTGATTATTAAACATAGTGTAATTAAACCATTCAAAAAATCATTGAATCTATAAAAAAATCTTACACGTTAAAAAGACGAAGAAAAAGACGTAAGATATTGTTAACAAAATGAAGAAATTATTATAATTAAGAATATAATTAAAATAACAGAAAGGAAACTAAAATAATTCTCGATCACCCTGCCCTGGATCAAGGTAGGGTCTTGAAGAAAAATGCAAATTAAGTTGCTACTGCCAAGCTTTTGACCTGTTTTAAGGCATATATTAACTTCACATTACGAAAAAATATTTGTACAATTGATTTAACAATTGTTTTTCATAATGTGAAATTAATATAGGCCCTGCTTTTGACTTTAAACAAAGGTCGAAAGCTTGGCAGTAACAACTGAATTTGCTTTTTTCTTCAAGACGATACTTCGATCCAGATTGTTCATGAGTGAAAAGGTAATCGATACATCTATTATTGAAAACTAAAATCATTCTAAAATTTGTACTACTTTGCTCTTACAATGAAGAGAAAAACGCAGCATAAGAATTAGGAATACTATTAGATTCAATTAAGGACATGCAATCTCCTTTTTTCGTATAAAATATAGTTGTGGTATTTCAGTATTTACAATATTTTGATTTTCTGTAACATTTTTGACCTGCAACTTTTACATTGAGCATTCATGCTTCCTAGATTTGTTAGTTATATCCAAATAGCCAGAACTATCAGCATTATAGGTCAAATTTTTCTTCTCATTACCCGTTATTAAAGTGCAACAAGAAGATCCAACGTACATAACATTTTGCCCTAAAGCCAAAGAGGTGAAATGTGAAAACTGACAAACCTGACAAACTTCATTACCATTATTGATGGCAGTTTTCTTCTTGTTGGTCGTCAACAAATTTATATATAATAGTATACACGACATGCAAACAATTCCACCCAATTGATTTTGTTTTATTTTCTCGATAAAAGAAAATTCTGCCCTTAATTTGTCTCGTTGTTTTTATTAATAAATATTTGTTTATGTTATGTTTTAAATTGTGAATATCAATTAGAGGTAAACACGGAATTTAAAATGTTTATTCAGTCTCACTTGAATTCTGAAGCTATAAACTGTTAATATTCTTCTTTGTTTTCTTAATTTCAATTTTAAATTTAAAATTGCCACTTAGTGC